GAGGAGAGGAGAGGAGAGGAGAGGAGAGGAGAGGAGGGGACTGAGGTACTGAGTTGCCCAAACAATACCCCACCTTCAGAGGACTTTGATACTGAGGACCCCCTGACTCATAGAGAAATATCTACATAGCTCATTCTTCTGGACTTGGCCCTGTCCCCCCTGCCAGTACTGGGGCTTGAAATGTCCCCAGCACTTTTTAATTTAGAGATGGCATCTTACTGAATTACTAAATTGCTCAAGCTGAGCTCAAATCTGTGATCCTCCTGCCTCAGCCTTCCAGAGTGCTGGGATTACAGGCACAACTCCTGTTGATTTAGGAGGCGAAGGGTTAGTGAGAGGAGGTGAGAGGGGGAGTCATCACTGTCAGATGCTCATCCCTGAAGTGATAAACAGTGCAGTACTCTACTGGATATGTGGGACTTAATCTGAAAGTTTGCACCTGAGCTGAGAGCTCCTAGAGCTTAGAGATCCTTGGGCAAACTGAGAAAGGAATAGAGGAGCATGTGTGTGTGTGTGTGTGTGTGTGTGTGTGTGTGTGTGTGTGTGTGTGTGTCTAGAGAGCCTGCAGACTCTACTGCAGAGACAAAATTAACCTGTTTCTCTGCTTCTCACCTCCCAGAGAGCAGCCCCCAACCCTTGATTAATTTTCCAGCTAATTGTTTGCTGTAGCATTTTCCCAAGAGGACTGAAAGATGTTTTCGTTATCTCTGCATCTCCCAGCCTGACCCTGCCATGCTGCACCAATTAGAGCTCCAGTGGGTGGTTGGAGAGAGCAGCCCTGTTCCTGGGAATCTCCGGTAAGAAATTCAGGCCTTGACTGTTGGTTTTGCCAGCCAGCCTGACCTTTACAGAGCTTTGCTTTCTCCCTGCTCCATCTTCCAAGAGTTTTGTCACTACCACCAAGGCTGTGTGCTATGCTATAGAAATGAGTTAATTTCTCTTAAAAGATACTGCCAATTAAACTGGAAGCTCTGTTGCCTTTCAAAAATATACACACATGCACACACACACACACACACACACACACACATATTTTACAGAGTATTTTTACAGCAGTATTTCTAAGCTTGAAGAACTGCACTGTGCAGATAGCTTGGAATATCACAAGGCAGCTTGAGATGCTGCCTTTTGTGTGTAGACCGTCAAAAACTTTGGGGTACTCTGACTCTCTGGTGGGGTGAATGGGGGAAGAGGTTTCAAGGTGAAGCATCTTTTCCTGGTTGCTGGAGTGACGTGGGAGTGCCCCAAGCTGTCTTCAGTGCCTGCAACTGCCAAGCCACGGTCCACCCTGTGCCACAGCGTTCTTCCTAAAGCCTGGATTTCTTTCCCTGCTTCCTCTAGGTGAAGGTCCACTTGTATCCAGCCATGGCTTCCATGGCCTTTTCAACTACTTCCAGAGCTCCACTCTGCAAAACGCCCTTTGGGCTCCAGTAACCCTGAACAACCTGCCACCCTGAATAAGAATCCTCACCCGAGCTTGGACTCCACTGTGCCCTCTGCCTATAATGCCATCTGGCCCACCTTGGCACCTGAAACCCCACCAACCCGCAAATCCCAGACTGAGCACCAAGTGCGGGTCACAGGACTGTTCAACATCTGTCCTCCCATATGCTGTGTGGTTACAGGAAAAGCACTGGACTCATCTTCAAAAGGAGGATTCAGAGGAGGTCTAAAAAAGAGAAAACAAACTCCCAGGGAGTCGTTCTCAGCCTCCAACGCAGTCCTCCAACCACTCTCCCCTCCCTTCTCACCCCAGCCAGGAGTGCAGTGTGACGTACCAGAGTTGAGAGTTGTGTTTATTATGACCCCATCAGACTAGGCCAAAGGGCTATGTCTTGTCATTGCCCTTTGTCCAGGACAGGGCAGCCACGCAATGAAAGCTGGGTGAAGGGTGAACATATCTGCTCCTCTTTCACAGTCAGGTCCACATAATTCACAGGTCAACTGTCTCTGCCTGGTGGTATTGAAATGCAAGGTCTCTGAGGTCAGAATGTGCTGTGACCTTAAGCATAATTTTTATTTCTGATTTACAAAGCAAAGCTGGCCCTACCTCTACAGAAATAATCCTATATCCTGGATTTGGGTGGGTTAAGTGCACACGTGTGAGTAGAACCTTCCATGCAGTCTCTTCCAGACTGGACAAGGACTGCCCTGATACATCTGTGGGTGTCTGGGTTCCGTGGGCTTAGGATTCTGGGAATCTGTGGCCCAACTATCCCATTGGCCCCAGACCATAGAGTGACTTTCATGGGTCCTTGGCACTTGTGCTTTTGTGGATCCCTCCTTCCGTGTAAGTTAATAATAGCATATAGTCCCAGCACCCTGGGAGGCCAAGGCAGGAGGAATGCAGGTTGAGCACAGCCTGAACGAATTAGCAAGAGCTTGTCTTTTAGAAAGGAGGGAGGGAGAGGGGGGTGGAATATAGCTCAGGGTTCAGCTTCCAGTAACCCACAAAGTAATAATGATAATAACAAATGAATTCTCTTTTACGAATGCATTGTTATAAAGATGAATATAATCTAACTGGGTTTATTTTCTTCTGCTGCTTTTAAAAGAAATTAGAGTTGAAACATCGCAGCCCAGACACCGTACCTCTTGCAACAAATGGAGTGTCTGCCCTGCCCGCCCCCCCACAGCCTCCTTGAGCGTCTTCTCCAGTACATTCTGGGCCCCCTGCTAACTTCCCCAGAGCCGTCTGCCCTGCCCCTTGCTATTCACCCCTCAGAGAGGAGGCCACAGACCACAGCGGCTAGATGCTGGGCTTGCCCCCAGATCGGCCGGGGAAGGAGAGGCCAGGGCCGGTGCTGCTGCCCTCCACCGAGCCCAGACCTAGGGTCGCCTCCAGTCGCTCTCCCAGTGGGACCCTCGGGCCCATCACTATCTCTCCGGGCTGCGACTCCATGTCTTCACGCTGACCGCAGGGTGAGCACCCCAGTGGACAGGTGCTGGGCTGAACCACCTTGAACGTTCAGCAGCAGCAGCAGCAGCAGCAGCAGCAGCAGCAGCAGCAGCAGCAGCAGCAGCAGCAGGGCATGCGGGTGAGGAAAGCCTCTCAGCACTGCTCTTTAAGCACTGTGCACGATTGTTCCATTTCTCCTATGCCTAAGACTCCTCTGGAAGTGCAAGGAGCTGGGCAGAGGCTGAAGGAATGGGAAGCCCCGACCCTAAACCTTCCCGGCCCCGCCTTCAGGTTCAGCCGCGCCCAGACCCCGCCCACCCGCCAACTCCTCCCGCCCCTCGCCACGCCCCTCGCCACGCCCCCAGCCGCTGCGGGCTCCCGTGCCTACCAGCTCGAGGCCCGCCCCTCCTTGAAGCCCCGCCCCTTACCCCGCCTCGGCCACGATCCCCGCCCCTCCCCTACCCGCTGCGCGCATGCTCCTTGGGGATGCCACCCTGGAGTCTCGGAAGGGCAACCGATGTCCTCCAGGGCCATGTCGCGAGCTTGTCAATTCCAGGAGCCAGACAGGTAAAGCCTTCGGGCCGCATACCCGAGGCAGCTGAGGCCGGCCTCCGTCGCAGCGGGGACCCCGCCGGCGCAGGCCCCCCGGGGTAGCCCGCGGATCTCTGCACTTTTCCGCCCAGGCCAGCGGGGCGCCCCTTCTCCGACCCTCCGGCCTGCGCTTCCGGAACCTCCGCGGTTCTGCTGTCACCCGCCAGGCCGTTCAGTGAGAACTCACAGTGCACAGGTCACTGCGCTTTTCCTCCTGCGGGTTCCTCGGGTCAGTTCTGAGGGCTGTCCCCTACCACAGTCACCCTCGGCAGGGTCCATTCCCGGGCTGGGCCGGCCTGCTTGCTTTCCGGGACACGGTTTGGGGCGCCCTGGGGGCGCTCCGTAGTTAGCATTTAGTGACTTTTTTACGACAGATGGTCATGTTTGAAATTCACTGCAGTGCGCTTTTGAAACCACCGCGGCGGGTACAAAGTTGCAATCTATGCAACACAGCCTTCCTCCAGAAGGCTGGAAAACCAAGGTGTTCATGGCCTGGAGGTGCTGTAACAAAGTGCCAGCAACAAGGTGGCTGGAAACCACAGAAACTTATTCTCATGGTTCTGAAGGCTAGGTCCGAAATCAAGTTCCACAGGGCTGCGTTCCATCCAAAATCTTCAGTGACACTTCCTGCCTCTTCCTGGTCCTGGTGGCTTCTGAGTCCCAGGGCTTGTGACAGCATTGCTTAATTGAGCGACACTGTCTCCTCAGGCTTTCTTCCCACACGTCCATCCTTCTGTGTCCTCTCCTCTTCCCCTGAGGCCCTGAAACGGGCCCAGCCACGACCCAGGTGCTGGCACCTCATGATTCTCACTGGTTACATCCGCAGAGTTCCTGTCTGAACAAAGTCACACTCTGAGGTTCCAGGTTCATATGACTTTACAGCAAGCACTGCTCAGCCCCCCCCTCCCCCCCGACAGGCCAGCCACCAAATGCATCTGCTCAAAGGACCTACACAAATCCAATCAAAGGCGCACCACTTGTGACTACAAAGCTCGATACTTGCCTGCTATCTGGGGGCAGTTCTCCTTGTGTATTTCCATAT